AGCTGTTAAAATGGAAAATGTACTCTTAATGAGCTTATTCCATATTGTGTGTAAGAAAAAGGAAGGATAAAACTGATATTACCCATTTGGCAAGTACCTTTAATGACAAGTTATAAAGAATTAAAAAGCTGCATCCGATTTTGTTCAAAATAAACAGCGAAAGCCTGAAATGAAAAATAATTAAATATGACTCTTACTTTTGTGAAAATTTGAGATATATAAAGATAGACTATACAAAATACCATGCGACGTGTAAAAAAAAAATAAAAAATACACTTCTTACTTTGGTTTGTTTTGGGGTTAATTTAATGTCAATACCTAGACATACTTAATGAATGAAATTCTAGCGCCACTACTAATATAAGTGTGTCAATGCAGGGTTGCCTGAACAACGGAAAGTCAAATGATGCCAAAAGATTTATCTATGCGAGGGAGGTAAATCAGTTGAAGTAAATTTTATATGGAATTTTAGATTATTATTAAAGACCGATTTTTATTTGAATTTGAAATAAATTTTTGTGGTACCATCTTTTAGACGGATTTTGATTTCTATTTCTGTTTTGGACAAATTTGGTTATTCTTATTCATTTGAAACTAATAAATATAGTCTTTTTCTTGATTCAAATCTTGTAGGTACCGATTCTTTATCTGTACATGTAATCTATACTTACTTAATTCGGTTGCCTCTTATAATGAAATCTTGCATGTGAATTCACAAGTTATTAAATATAAATTAACAAATGAGAATTCCGCTTCATTATGACACAAACGATTAGGTAACACCTCTCAAAAGAGAATGAAAAATCTTATATCGAAAGGAATTCTTGATTTCCTTAATTTTTCAAATTTAAGTGTTTGTGTTAATTACATTAAAGGAAAACAAACAAACATAAGAAGATTATGTACCAATAGGACTTCAGACGTCTTAAAACTAATTTATATGGATATCTGTGGGCCATTCAATTCGACTTCTTAGAATAGTCAACAATAATTTATTATGTTCATAGACGGATTTTTCTTACTACAGCTAACTATATCTCATCTATGAGAAATCCAAACATATTCAAGGCATACAAGGCTGGGGTTGAAAAATGACTCTGTAAAAGAATTTAATAAGTCAGATTTTTCCATAATAGTGAATAATATGATAGACATAGTGGATCAGGAAAACAATGTCCAGGACTTTTTACTAAATTCCTATAGGAATGTGGAATCGTTCCATAGTACATCATAATCTCTAGTAGAAACACTAAAGACTGATGACTTTATAATTTTTCTTTAAGAAAATGAGGATGTCATGGATTGATGGAAGAAGAACTGGTCAATCAACTTTTATCAAGCTATGCAAAGGAATAATTCTAAAGAATTGATTGATGTCATGCATAAAGAGATAAAATTCATAAGCAACAATGACATTTGGGAACTAATCCTATTGCCTGAAGGTGGGAAACTTGTTAGTTGTAACTGGATATATAAAACGAAGAGGGATTCGAAAGGTAATGTGGACAGATATGAAGCTCATTTTGTTGTAAATGACTTTACTCAAAAAGAAGTCACTACATTAAATATATTTTTTCTTCGGTTTCTATAAAAAAACTCTTTTAGGACAACTATTTCATTTGTGACATATTTTAATCTTAAACTACGTCAGATGTTTTATAAATTAAAGAAATCCAAGTATGAGTTTTAGCTAGTTTCCTGTAATCCTGTAATGATATCACAAATTTCATCAAATAATTATATCATTTGGTTTTAAGATGAATTCATTTGATGATTGTCGAAGTAATCATTTTTTTGGTATTGTATGTAGATGACCTATTCTTTGCCTGCAATGATATAAACTTATTGCACGAAACCAATTGATTTCTGTTATGGAATTTCAAAACGAAATTTTTTGAGGATGCCTATTTTGTATTAAGGATATAGATACATAAGGATTGTTTTCGGTATATTTTTTATTATTACAAAAGAGATATCGATAATATTTATGAAAGATTTGGGATGTAGATATGTAAATTATGTTATATCTCTATTGCTAAGGAAGACAAATTTAGTCTCAATTAATACACCAATGATAAATTTAAATAAAGAAAAATATAGAAAATTCTTGATGCTTCAGAACTAGGGAATTTAATGTATGCACGCATCTGGATATAAAATTCATTGTTGGAATACTGACACATATTTAATTAACTTTAGGATGAAAATTTGGAAAGCAACCATTAAGTTGTTCAATATCTATAGAGAACGAATGATTACATGACCATATTTAGGAAAATTAGACCAATTGGAGATCACTAGATATTCTAATTCTGACTATGGAATATGAATGCAAAATATTGTCACAGTGGCTGTACATTTTGAATGGAACTGAAAGACCACTTAAGTTATTATACGACAATGACAGTCTTGTAATCCAACAAGAGTTTGATGATGTCAAAATTTATAGATATTAAGTTTCTAATTGTCAGGAGAAAAATCAGAATAGTTAGATTTCTATAAAGCATATTAGGATAAACTCCATAATCATGGATCCATTAACTAAATGGCTACCACAAAAAGTCTTTTATGAGCATGATACTCATATGAATGTTGCATATTTTGATGATATGCCAATTTAGTGAGATTTTATATTCGGATGCTGTCTATTTTAGACAAATTTTTTTATCCATGGATATTTGATTTATTTCATAAATAAAGTATTCAGTTCAGTTCCATTCTGATTAAAGTTATGGTAGATCTCATTAAATAATAAGGTAGGACCATCTGGGATATAAACATGTTTAGATCAAATTACATGTAATTTTCATGCTACACATTTACACTTGATCTATGTTATTTGATTGTTTTGATATACATGATCACTGATGTATTTAGTTATGATACTTGTAACGAAGACTATTTTGATCATATATTGATATAATCAATGGACGAGATTGATCAACATGCTTTTGGTTATGATAACAAAAGTTTTGACGTCATAAAATTGTACACATTTATAAGGTAACATATGTGACCCAAGTAAGCGATGTGTTTATTATTTGTCACGTGAGCCTACACATGCAATTAATTGTGTATAATGCTATCTTAAAGTTAAAAGCCCAAATAAAATGACCTAATAAAAAATTAAATTGTTGAGCTTAGGACATTTAAATAAAGCGTGTGTCAAATTATACGTATAGAGACCAGATCCATTAGAGTTGTATTTGACGATGGACTCAATATATATGAAAACTATAAATAGGATTATGGTTCCCCATTTATATGTAACTTCTTACTCTTTGAGTTATCTCATCAACACAAGAATAAAAGAGAAAACATATTGAAAATGAAGATCCAAAACCCACAATCAGAAGAAGAATTTGAGCAATTAAATCGAAAAAAAGACAATTAAGATTATGGAGCTAAAAGCGAAATCAAAATCAAGAAAAGCAATAACCAAAAGAGCCAATAATCAAGATTCAAGATCCAGAATTAAGATTCAATAATAAGAAATTATTCCCAAATAATTAAAGTATGTTCCGTATTATTAATTTTCTTGATAATTTGACGCGAAAGATCCTGACAAGCAAGCAATTGGATTATCTAATTTTATAAAGTCTAAAGTTTCATATTTCAACATTATCAAGTCAGTACATAAATTAACAGGCACATTTTTGCTTCTTGTTTAAGAAGAAAGTACAGTCATAGTTCAATTTAACAGAAAAAAATCTGAGAGAATACAAATCACCGACGCATTGCAAAAATTTAGCTAATTTAGCATGCTCCCCTTGACTAGGAAATTGGAATGAAAAAATGTCATATTCATGTTGATGTGAGTGTTGAAATTTGCAACCTTTAAAGCAAATGAACTGGATCATTGCAGTTTAATGTCATTCAGGAAGCACCAATCAAAGCATGCAATTTAGCCCCTGTTTGGCCCCCATTATTTTGTATTTTTTATGGTTGAAAATTTTTGGAATAGTAATTGATGGGAGGATGTGTAGTGAAAAAGTAATGAAAAATTTTAGATTTGTGTGTAGCATAATTTTATTTGATGAATGTGTGGTTGTATTGGCGAGAGAAAAATTTAATATAATGTAATTTAAAGGGGCCAAATAGGAGCTTAATGTCGTTCACAAAGAACAAGATCTTTGCACCTTCCACTACGCAACTACCACACTCAGAGAAATAACCCCAACACAGCACCAGAAAAAAATCTATCTCATGTTTAGTGATATACACCAAAACAATTTGAAAGAACTGATAATGGTATAGCAAACATGAGATGATTTCTAAGCTTATCTTTGCATATTCAAAAAGATAATCCCCAGCCCTCCAGATTCTAAAGCCTGGGAATAATGCTATACGAAGTAAATCACAAGGTAAGCTGCACAAATGACTGAAGCGGGATCACAAAGTGCCGAAAGTGAAAAAGTCCAGTAATGATAATATGAAATACAAAATATACAACTGGTTGCCGTTCAGCTTTCTCCAATCAATACATCTAAGCATCAGGGCTTACATTCTTTTACCTTTTTTGTTCTTCCCCTTTCTCTTGAAGGGGGAGTGGAGCGAAGGAAGGTACCAATCCTCGAACTTGTGAAAACAATTCTTAACCAATTGGAACAAGAATTGGTATTGAACTTACATTCTTAAATGTAGAATAGTTGAATTTTGTAGAAACGAGTTAAGGATTTTTCTCCATTAAGATCCAAAGCGCCTTCTACTTTTAATAGGCCATGAACTAGATAATAATCATTCAGTGCAGGAAGTACAATACAGGGATCATTTTAAAATTACGCACGAGAACTCAAATTTAAGTGAGTAAGCAAGGCACTTTATTCGTAAATTTAAAAAGAAATTCCATTGCAAATCAGATACAACATACGAGTATGAATTAAAGCCAAACATACATGCCACGATGAGATCGATCATTTACTAGTACCAATGCAAATATCATGAACGAACGATTGCAGAACTCAAACTCTCACTACATCTAATCCATTCACAATATTTTATTATTTCTTCTTGTTATTCTTGATACCTCCCGCGTTATCATTTCCTCCAGCAGCTGCCTGTGCTGCTTTCCTTGCTGCCTTTTCTTGGAGGGCTTTCGCATCCCTGTCAGTGAATATCAAATACCCATATAAAAATTCCGAGTGTTTCAACATTAATTTGATCAATTTTTGAATAACTTGAATTGTAAAAACCTCTCTCGTCTTTGCTCCGGGGTCAATCCATCATCTTTGGCCTGCTTCTGCTTCTCTTTAGCCCTGGCTTGAGCTCTCTCTCGATCACGGTCTCTCTGGTTACCCCGTTAGCTTAAGTTATGGCCAAAACAAATACAGCTCAAATATATACACAACATTCTAATGTTGAAGCTATAAAAACTCGGATCAGAAATCCGAAACTGAATAATAAAATCTTGAGACTCCTGCATCAAAAGATGCAGTCTTCAAAAGGAAAAACTGATTCCCATTTATTAAAACTGAAAATTTTAGACAATTTGGTACCGGGTAAATAGCAATTAATGAATTATTCTTTCCCTCAGTTTTAATTTTAAGCAAAATGATGAGAGTCTTGGCAAAAAAAAAAAAAAAGGGTGATCTAAAATCAGAGAAAAGGAAACATATCATAAGGATATGAGACATTCTCGATTCTCGAACTGCCAAATAACGATCTGAAAACAAATAAAATCATATAACAAAAAATCAAAAACTAACGTAATTAAAACTAAAATCAACGGACGAGAAGAATTAAAAAGAGAGAAACAGAATTTAAAGGAAGAAACAAGAGTACCTTAGCAAACAAAAAGGGGATTGAGAGACCAAATAGAGATAGAGAGATTGTTGTCGACGACGATTGAAGATTTAGGGAGAGGAAATGGGAGGGAATTAGATTATTTATAGTGATGGAAACTCCAGTCAGTCCAGTGGTTTGGTTTACGGAAGGATCGAGAAGCTGTTGACTATTTTTTTTTTTTTTTTATCTCGTTTAAAAAAGGTGCTAATTTTCTTTTGCTACAATAATTAATGTTATTTATAGCTTATTTCCGGGTGGACAGACGACCGGTTCACTTGGGCATACACAATTGAGTAATGCTACGTAGTTCTATTAGGATTAAATGAAGGGAAAATTACAAAAAACAAGGTGTTAGATTGATTTTCAAAAATCAGGTTTAAAATTTAATTTTTCAAAAATAGGTAATAATTTTATA